GATAGTGGCTTGGATTGAGGAATTGGAGAGCCGAGTTTGAATTCCAGTCAAATCCATTACATTCACTTACATGCTAATAACCTTGGAAAAGGTATGAATCCTCTTCTTCCCCCACAAAGCTATGGGTAAATAGGAGGACAGAATAGGTTCTCTAGCCTTGGATGGCAACTGGTTTACTGCAGAAAGAAATGGCAACCTACTGTGGGAAAAAATCTGCCATGTCAGTCCTGTATCGGAAGATACATAATCACCTACATGTGTATCACGCATGGCGCATAACTGACTGAACTAGAATTAAAGGAATGGTTTATTTTTCAAACATGGTCAGCACCTTGTGGCCATGTTCATAGGTGATATTATTGAGTGTTGGCTTTTTCATTTTTATTAATAATGCTTCCATTATTTTTAAACTTTTTTTTCACATGTGGATGAGGCTATTATATTTGTATTATTAATGAGTATGTCACAGATAGTTTGGTAGATCTCCATTTGTATTTAAATGAGACCTAATTGAGCTATGGTCAGAGAGATGTAACGTGAGTCTTCTTGTTAAACATGCTGTAGTATATCCATTATAATTATTGACAAATTAATTAGGTCTCATTTAAATACACATGAAGAAATACCAAACTCTATCCATAACACAGGAATAAAATGCTTGTGGAAAGGACTTCACAGGTCATTGTGTCTTGCCAACTACTGCTTTTTTCTCTGCTTTTATTAGCATGAGACATACAAAGACCTGGGTCATGACTACTTTTTTTTTTTTTTTAAACAGTAAAATTCACCCCGCAAAAGGCCAATCGAGGCAGTTTATATGGATAGGAGGTGAAGATAATGGCTAACTCTAGACTTGAACAGGTTAAGATTGTAGTGCTTGGGGAAGCATCCTCTTGGGAGTCAGTTCCACAAAGCAGGTAGACAGTTACAGAGTATAAGGCACAGTTGATGGGGATATGTGGAGAAGATAATGGCTAACCCTAGACTTGAACAGATAGAGATTGTAGTGATTGGGGAAACGTCTTCTTGGAATTCTGTTTCATAGAGTAGTGGTTCGTGAAACTTCTCACTGATTGAATACACAGAGAATGTGTGTGCTTTGCTCCAATGTAAGTGACATGGTGGCTCCTAGCTGTGAAGATTAGATTGGAAGTAGCAATAGAGCAGTGAGAGATTCGTGCAACCCAAGAGAGAGGTTAGAGGGTGGAAAATACTTCTCTTCCAACAAGGAGTCTGAGACGCTTTTGAACTCTATCAAAACTGGAAAGTGAGGATTGGGCAGCTCCTGCCTAAGTATGGCAACAGTATTCCATTTTCGTCCTGATCTGGTTCTTATAAACATAGGGGATAGCATGAGGTGTCAGGTTGCAGAGAGGCCCATATCTAGACATGCCAAACTGTCCCGCTGCTAATGGGAAAAACCCAGGTGTAACTGGTGCTGACAAACTTTTCCGCATGCATTCCAAGGTCTCTTTTGCCTTTGTACTACTTTAAGTTTGCATGAAAAAGAAAATTGATTTTTAAGAATAATAGTTTAAGTTCACATCCAGTAAAATAAACACAGGAGAAAATTAAATTGTTAGGTTCAAAAGATTTACCAAAGATATAACCTTTTTTTTTTTTTTTCAACATTACCTCCCTTCACCAAAAAAAAGAAGAAAAAAGAAAAATTTTCAGTATTAGCTGCTGACTCCAGGGAATGTTGTCAGTCTTCCACTAAATTTCAATGTGGAGATGCTGTCAAAAGAATGAATCCTCAGTAAGTAGGTTAATTACTTTGTAAATTTTAACTGACAAAGTTTTTTTGTGTGAAATATCAAACTACTTTTTCTGTTCATGTATTTTGTTGTTTGGGGAAAAAAATAACTCACTTTTTTGTCTTTTCACTCCAATCAAGGTAATAAAGCCACTAAGATGCAAGAGGTTTCTGAATTTAGAGAGAATATGAATAAAGAAAGCGATTAAGGAGAGAGAACCATAAAAGAAGAATTAAGAAGAAAGATGTCAATGATTGATATTGCAAATAAACTTTCGAAGATCAAATTTGACTTGAAAGCAAGAAGTAAGAAGAGTGGTCCACAAGCAAGAAATGTGATAGGAGAAATCGTTAGCATAGAACTTACAGTAACATCTAGCAATTTTGACTGTAAAATGTTGAGACCTTGCCGCCAATCTAGTACTACACTTAGACTCATAAAGTCTTGGTAGCATAGAGCAAAGTTTATCAGAACAATTATCATGAAAATGTTTCTAGAAAAGGCACAAGGAAGCTACTTTATGGCAATAGGAAAGTCACTGAAGCAGAGATGTCAGGTCAGAACTAATAACAATGCAAATTCTTCTTTGGATTTTATGAAGAATCTCTAAATAATATAGCAGGAGCACCAGACAATATGTGGCAGCAATATTTAAAGCATGGATGAATGGTAGACTTATAAATATGTAAGATAGATTCTGGCAAGAAAAATTGTCTAGCATGACATATTGAATCAACTTTCCT